TATTATACGATTATCCTGCATTCACGAGGCTCAGAGCTTACTTTCAAGATTCTATTGGGATTTTCTTCATGTCGTTTTAAATTTGTTCTCACATTTTTCCCTTTTGTAGTAAATATTGGCACAGAAAAAAATAAGAAAAATGTATATAAAATGATATTCAGAAGCTCTTCTTTCCTGTTAATAAGAATTTTCACACAGAGGTTTCTCTTCCGGACACAGCTTGCCCTGTTCAGCGGTGCACACTGATTATTAATTATAATAATGAAGAACAATGACACATTTACTATATCAGTGATGTGTTTTTATGTCAGCATGTTTCTGTTGATAGTTATTGGTCAGAGGGGCCAATTTCGGTGTGCCCCAGGGCAGCTGTGGCTACAGTAGTAGTTTATCACGACTGTATGGAGTGAACAATAATGACATGTGAGTATCCAGAAAACCGTTATATAAAACCAGTGCCCGGACTTCCCTCTCAACACAAACTTCCTCCAGCTCAACCGGACAAATTCCGAGGCCTCCCAGGCCAGCTGAGAGACATCGCCCCTCCAACATGTCTTGGGTCTTGCCCCTGGTCTTGGAGAATGTCCAAAGGGCCGCAACTGGCCCGCAGGCCGACGTTTGCTCACTACTGGCTCTTGGTATTTTGTCTCTGGCAGAGTGTCTTGAAAGACAGGTATAAATAAAAATAAAAACAGATTCATGTTTGGGTGAAGGTAAAGATGAAAGTGTGTGATGAACTAAAGTTGGTCAGACACAAATAACTTTAGTTTTGAGAGCTTTGATCACCCTGCGATACCTTCTGTCAACGATGCCTTTCTTTGCTCATTTCCTGCCCGAGAAATGTACAGTTTTATTTGTGTTTTCTGTTTATATTTGCTTAAGTTCAGTGGGTTTTGTGAGGCCTGTGCCGCTGTCCGTGTGCAGTGGTCAGTGTTTGTGTAAATAGGTGAATAAAGGGCTTCTGTGAGTGACCTGCTCCAGTCGCTGCAGCCCAGAATCTAAAACTGTTGCTTTACAAACACAAAAACAGCTTTTAATATGAAAAAACATAATAAAGGACATCTCTGATCTCATCTCTCGAAAACATCCTGCCTCATTCCCTTTTCTACATATTACATAATCCGGTTTATTTGCACTGGGCCACAGATTTGGTCCAATTTTATTTTCCAATTCACCCAAAATGTGATGTCATAGAACTTGAGATTCTATTTTTAGCACATTAATCATTGCCAGACTTGAGTATCTCTGGCAGAGTGTCTTGAAAGACAGGTATAAATAAAAATAAAAACAGATTCATGTTTGGGTGAAGGTAAAGATGAAAGTGTGTGATGAACTAAAGTTGGTCAGACACAAATAACTTTAGTTTTGAGAGCTTTTGATCACCCTGCGATACCTCCTTTAAAAGTGATTACAAAACTATAAAATGCCCCCAGTGTCCAGAATGTGTGTTAGAAGTTAAAAACACTTGTAATGTAACTTAACCAACAGCTGATTGAGAAAACAAAGACAATAGACAACTGTTTTAACTGGACACAACATGATTTATCAGGATCAAAGCACTCTGAATAGAAATCCAGTCTATTCTGACAATAAGCATGTGTCCTATTCCAACTAAAACTCAGAAGTCCACAAACTCTGCTCTGATAACAGCCCCAATCACATAAAAACTACTCCTGTGAATTTCCCACCACTTCTTCATCTTGGCTCTTTCTGCTGTTCACATAAACACACAAGAAGTAACAAAATACAAATACATACATTGGCCCAGTTCCTACACATGGAAACTCAAACAAGGCATTAAAATCATAAAGAGATTAAATCATAAGAGTACATACAGAGTGAAGATTTGTCAGTTGTGTGCACAGCTAAACAGTGTTCAACCTCAGTGACAGAGTTTTTCACATTTTCAGGAAGACATCCAGATTTTAGGGGAATGGCACATTTATGGTGGTGTTCATGAGTTGGCGGCTGCTTTTGTGTTTATGATCTCACTTCTAAAAGTAACATTTGGGCTCTGGATTAGTGAAAGTGCTATTTCTCTCAGCAGCAGCAGCAGCAGCAGCAAAGTAGTTGTTCTCAGTGTTTTTTCCACGGGAGTTTTCCACCAGCTCCCTGTGGCTCAGAGCAGCGCACCTTGTAAACACGTCCTCTGCCAAAGAACGAGCCAAACAAGTTCAAGAACTAAAGTGCTGGGGAGACAAATGTGCTGCAGATAATTGACCATAGTGATTATTCAGGTCAGAATATACAGGATTTGCTGAACTGTAAACCAACGCTTTTTTCAAGTTCTTTGAAGCCTGTGGCCTACATAGGGATGAGCCAATGTATGTATTTTTATTGTGTTAGAGCGCCCTCTGGAGCACAAGAAGGGATATTGACACAGCTCTATCAGGTGTTGATCTCCAGAGCTATTGACGTAGCACACATTCCTGCTCCAGTGTGTTTATGTGAACAGCAGAGAGACATGAGGAAGTGCAGGGAAATACACAGGCATTGTTTTTATGTGATTAGAGCTTTTTATGGACTCATTTTGACTCAACTTTTAGTAAGTTTAACAAGATCATGGGTTCGATTTCACCTCCAGGCCTTTCTGTGTGGAATTTGCATGTTCTCCCCATGTCTATGTTGGTTTCCTCCCGAGGCTCCGGTTTGCCCTTCCACTAAAAAACATGGATGGTGTTGATTGGAGGTTTTGATGCTCCAGTGTGTTCGGCGTCTCGCTTCCGTCATCACTGTGTGGAGCAGGGGTCTCGAACCTGTAGCTCGGGAGCCACCAGTAGCTCGCCAGCCCCTTACAGGTAGCTCGCCAAAGGAATTAGAATTTAACAAATACACTTCAACGAATACTTTTTGACCCATTACATCATTACATATCTATTATAAGTATAAATATAGGGTTATACATTATTATGGTGTATTTTATATGTGTCTCTGAGTTTGGTCGTAATTATGAGATCGATTTTTATTATGACTGCAAAAAGAAGTAGCTCTCTGCCTGTTTGTTTGTTTGTTTATACAGTAGCTCTCTGATGGAAAGAGGTTGGAGACCTCTGTGTGGAGAGAATGGAACGATGAACTCTGAACATTGTAAAGTGCTTTGGGTGACCTTAAGATAAGATAAGATATGCTTTATTGATCTCACAAAGGAGAAATTTACATGTCACATCTGGCCTGGATAGAAACGCTCAAGATTGTGCAAAAAGAAAGAAATGTGCAAACATGTTAAATGCAGGATATATTATGTACAATAAAAACTGTCAAGAGTGGCAATCAGAAACAGTGTCAATAGTAGTGCAGGTTTTTCAGTCTTAAAAAACAGTGACTTAAAGTGACTTGTTGTACAGTCTGACAGCGGTGGGGATAAAGGGTTGGTCTGTAAAATACGCTATATAGATAAACATTATTTATTTACTTACATTACAACATAAAAACCATAAAATTACATGTTAAGAATGTATGTCTTTAAATCTTGAATTGCATTGCTGCTTATAGTATGCATTTTCCATGACCCTTTTATTGTACGGTGCTAGTATTTTTGCATTTTGTTGTATTTTCCGCCCATTTATTTCAATCTATGGCGTTCACAGTAGCAGCCCAATCCTCCTGCTGCATGTCTATGTTCAGTCCAGCTGCATTTAAGAACAGGGAAAAGCAAAGTGGTTTGTTTTTCATACAAAGTACAATAAAAAAGTTGACCTCGTCTTAACCTCAATTAATAACAGATAATCTTCATTTGTTATATTGGCTTTGAGAGGCAGGTTTGTGGGTGCGCCGCCGATCTGTGCTCCTGCTGGGTCTGGGACGGGGCATTCGTCCTGTGCACTCATGATTGTTTTGTCATTGAATTGAATGTAGGTCACTCACACAGAGCAGCGAGCGGCCAGGTTTCTGCAAACACGGGGTACGAGGCCATTAAAACGTGGTAATGACTGGATTCTAATTACAACAAACCACAAGGAAAGACTAAATAAAATGGTTTCCCAAATGTGGTTCCATGGACAGAATGAATATGGCTTATGTAAGTAGATATATAACTGTAACAATCCCAAAGGATATTTTTGTGCCAGAGAGAGCTGTAGAATCACTTAAGTGCTTAAATACATTGATATTAGTAATTAGATACAATGCTTCTAAAACTGTAGCAAACATAGAAGTCATTGATATTTTGTTCTTTACACTCTCAAAAACATGTCTGAGGAATGGGACCAAGAACAAGATTTAGCAACTGCTGCTTTTCTTGGGTTTCCTTAAACTGGCCAGTAGGGGGCGAATGAGCAGAGGTGGGACAACTCAGTTTTCCTCCCATTGAAAATCGTGTCTGTTTTGGAGTCAAAAGGCTCATCCTGTGTGGTGTACGGTTGTTGTAATAATCGGGAGGGGGGACACTCAATTCTAAGGGAGTACTAAAGAATATTTCTCAAAAGATTCTTGATTTTGGGCATTTTTGAAAGAAAAACAAACAGAAGAAATTGCTGCGTTTCATTCGAGCGGCCTGCAGGGGACGCTTATCTGGGAAATCCCTGATCCACCTCGCCCGCCTCATTCCAGGGATTTTTTTCAATATGTTCTCCTTTATTTGAGACCACAGTTGGAACACGGAAGAAACTCTTCTCTTTCTCTCTATTTGAGCGGTTGCTTCAAGCGTACACCGCACAGAAAGATGGCATTTTGACAGAGCTTCTTCTTCTACTGTATCTCTGTGTATAAACCCGGCAGACTGCACCGCCAGGATACGCCCACGCTTATTATTTACGCCACTACCCTGACGTCATATGAAACCCAAGAATACATTAAAAAGAGTGAAGATATAATCCTTCAGTTGTATGTAGAAGCCTGTCTCACATTTTCGGGAAGACTGTTCAAGATCTTAGTTGCCTAAAGTGATGTCAAGGCCTAATCTCTAATAATAATATTGTTGTTACATTGCAAAAATTGAATGGAATGTATCTGAATTTTGTCGTTATCAATGTTGAATAAAGGTATGTAACTATGTTTTCCAGTTCACATTCAAGGTGAGGACCATGGGCTCCCTGTCGCTGGCCTGGGTGGGAGATGGATCAGGGGTGAGTGTGTGTTTATCCATTAAAAGGTCAAAAAAATGAAAGAAGAAAAGACCATTTGATGTTTCTGTTTGTTTTTCAGGTCTTGCTGGTGCTAACCACGTTTCATGTCCCTTTGTTCATGCTGCGTTTGGGACAGTCCAACCTCTACAGAAGGTACACAGCATCATCAGCTCAGTGCCTCTGATCTGTTGTTGGTGAATCGACAACTTTGTAAATCTTTCTTCAAAGGTTCTCTCCTCTTTTCAGTGGACAAATTGAGCTAAAACATATTCCAAACTCAACCACAATTTCTAGTGACCCTTTTTAGAAAAGATAAGCCCCTACTTCCTCCGGCCTCTTCTTGGCCTCTACTCGACCGTGATGCGTTTCCATTACGATTGAGTATCGAGCAACCAACCCAGAACTAACTAGTATCCGGGGAAATTCCTCTGTAATCATGTCTTCCATAAGCTCTCTTGCCATTGTTTTAGTCTTAGCTCGGCCTGGTTAGAACCACGGCCAAGCAAGTACTAAAAATGTGGTGCTGGTGGAAACACTACCAATCAGGGTAGAGTATAGTCAGGTAGGGCTGGTGGAAACGGGGTTATAGATCTGCCTTCTATTGCAGATATATTATACTTTGTTACTTTTACTACTTTTTAAAATTATTTATTTCTATCAATCTACAATGTCAACCAAATATTCGGTTAAATCAGGTCTGAGAAGGAGTATGATGTTATTCTAGTCCCACTCCAGAATCTCAAATCCTCAGACTTTGGCTTCATTTTTAGTTTTTTGCTTCTCCTTCTATCCACATTCCATTGATAAACATAAAATAGCTTTCACAATGTGGAACCAATGATCACCACCAGGCATGTACTGTATCATTGTTCCATTACACAGGCTGTATTTTAAACATTGATTTTCTAGAGCGTTTAGATATGATGCACTGAACCAATAACCCTGTCACAATATTGTATATGACTTACTATAGTTTAATAAATAATCCATGGAACAATACAGTACATTTAGGGCTCAATAAATATTAATTTTCTTATGCAAAATTCGGGAGACAAAACAGCTTTTGATGGTTGAAAAAGTAACAAGGATGTCTAATGATATATAATTCTACATGATGGCATACCAACAGACCATTTCAACTAGTCTTTTGAAGCTAAAACAGAGGTTCAGACTGGAAGACCACATGTGCACAAGCTCACTGCTCTCAGTGAGCAGTATTGTGCAGAAACCTGTCATTCGTGCAGCAACCCTCCTCCTCCCCATGACTGCCTCATCTACCAGACCAGCTCTTTCCCTTCTAACCCTTTTCTTTGTTACCACCACCAGGGTCTAGGCCAAGGGGAATTTCATCTCATAATCTCCATTTTCATTTCCCTTTCTGCATTTGTCACAGTGCTTTACCAGGGTTTAAGTGCCAACTCTTAACTACATTTCATGTCCAGCAGCAATAAATGCCATTCGTGCATATAATGTCCTCAGTCTCATGTGCTAACTCATGTAGTGACAGCTAATGCCAACTAGCTAGTGCAAACTAATTATTTAAAATTCGAATAACCCCGTTCTGAGTCTCTCCAGACTGAATTGTTGCTACTCTCTCTGTCAATGCCAACCTGGAGAACTGAGGTCATGTCCTCCGAAATTGAGGCGTATCCACACAAATATTTAGTCTCATTCCAAACTCCACATTTTGAAGCCGGATCCCAGAGTTTCAGAATGCTGTCTGCATGTTGCCGTTTTGTCTGTGGACACAAGTTTAACTGCTCGACCTTTGTTTCAGTGAAGATTATGGAAAAACATTCAAAGACGTCACTCACCTCATTAACCACACGTTCATACAGACGGAGTTTGGGATCGCCATCAGTCCCGACCACTCCGGCAAAGTAAGCCTCAGCACTCGCCCATCTGTCCCTCTTCTCTGCTAATTTTTCACTCTACAACTCTGGATTTATGTTCACAGGTGATTTTAACCGGAGACGTTGCGGATCTTGGCAAAGTCTACAGATCGCATAACTTCGGTCTCCACTTTGAGGCCAGTGACCTTCCCTTCGAGCCTCTCATCCAGATGCTGTTCAACCCCGAAGACTGCAACGTCCTCCTGACTCTCAGCATCACGGTACAGCACAAAAACAGTGTAAAAAATAAAACATTACATTCAAGGAGAGTTTATTTGTGTTGTGTAGAAGCTGGTATATGAGTAGACGACGGTTCAGCAGAGTCAGTTTCACTTCTAACATAAGAAAACACAGGCCCACACAGAAAAGATGTTGGAGGAATGTTAAAAAAAAGAAATGTCCCAGATCTTTACTGTTGTTAGACCCACCTGCATAGGCAAGGAACAACTAAAAAACCCAGTGGGACATGTCCAAATCTATTATTCCAAATCTAGAAGGCCCATATTGAGAGACAGGCTCCAGTTCCAGATCTGAGGCTGTAGATTATTATTATTATTTCTGGACAGTGGTCATCCCGCTCCATATGGGCCAATGGATCCTATGAGATTGTTATTATTGCGTGTCATGAGGGTTTGATTTTCTGATCTGTTGTTGGTGAATTGACAACTTTGTGACTGTAGATTCAGGACTGAGGCTGTAGATTCAGGACTGAGGCTGTAGATCCAGGACTGAGGCTGTAGATCCAGGACTGAGGCTGTAGATCCAGGACTGAGGCTGTAGATCCAGGACTGAGGCTGTAGATCCAGGACTGAGGCTGTAGATCCAGGACTGAGGCTGTAGATCCAGGACTGAGGCTGTAGATCCAGGACTGAGACTGTAGATCCAGGACTGAGACTGTAGATCCAGGACTGAGGCTGTAGATCCAGGACTGAGGCTGTAGATCCAGGACTGAGGCTGTAGATCCAGGACTGAGGCTCTAGTTCCAGGGCTGAGGCTGTAGATCCAGGACTGAGGCTCTAGTTCCAGGGCTGAGGCTGTAGATCCAGGACTGAGGCTCTAGATCCAGGACTGAGGCTCCCAGGCGGGGGTGCAGCCCATGCAGCCTGGGGGGGGTACAAGTTCACTCACTCTTATTGTGTTTAACTTCTGGATGTAATGTTTCAGTTGGACCTATGGTTGTCTGAGGACTTTGGCGCCACCTGGAGGAAGATCCATGACAGTGTTTGTTTGGTGCGATGGTGAGTTTTTATATCAGCAGCAACACATTTCTCTGAATATAAATTGAGAAAAGATTTGAGAAAATCACTGTGGAAGAAGTATTAATCTATTCAACCACTATACATGGTATTAAAGCAACATTAAAGCTATATGAATGAGAGTGAAGTTGCCTCTCCACAGCTCTGTCCGGTAACTTAAAGGTGCAGTAAGTGATGTTGTTAGCTTAGCCGTAGCACCAACTGGAAACCACTCCCCCCTCCCCTCCCCTCTCCACCAAACCAAACATCCAGCATTTTCTTTTCTTTGTCACAACAGGGAGAGTGGGCGGCAAACGTGAAATTGGCATTCATTCACCAATTTGGTCATTTAAGGTTTTGGAAAATCCGATAACGCACACTCGCGAGAAACAGGAAAAGGGTAAAGGGGGTAAACGCATCCCATTGGTTCGTTGGGGATGAACAAATCCCATTGTTTTTTTTTTTATTGGTCCGCTCCAAAATATGTTTTATTATATTTTGGAGACTACAGGCATTTGATCAATTCCATTACTATTTGAAAACGCATGACAACTTGACTACTTTTAGGGTTTAGGGACTTCTGCTGTCGTTGTGTCCTTGGCAAGATACTTAACCTCTGAGAACACCAGCCACAGTGGGGCGGCTGCGGCTGTAAAGTGCTAAACTGCCGTTGTGTCCTTAGGCAAGACATTTCACCCCCATTGCCTAGAATGAGTCTGGTGTGTGTGAACGGTTGGTGGTGGTCGGAGGGGCCGATGGCACACACTGGTTGCCTCGCTTCTGTCAGTCTGCCCCAGGGCAAGTGTGGCTACAGTAGTTTATGACCACTGTGTATGGAGAGAAAGAATAATGACATGTGAAGCGTCTTTGAGTGTCCAAAAAAGCGCTATGAAAATCTGATGCATTATTATTATTATTATTATTTTCCCACAATATTTAAAAAAACGGACTGGAAAAAATTCCTGACTGCATCTTTAAGTTTGTGGCATCAACAAAAAAAATGCACATTAAAGCTGAGGTACCTACATTTTCAACAGAAACTCTTGTAAAGGTGATGTTTTGAGATTGGCTGAGTGGCTGACTGAGGATGGTTCTCTCTTTTACACTTTTCTGTCTGAAAAATCTGATCTAAAGATGTGACCAGAAATACATGAAAACCGAGAGATTGTTAGTGGTTCAAAGATGGGTTCCCCAGCGTTAAATTGTGTAAATAATAGTTCTTTTGGACGATGAACAAACTTTTTTCTCACACAGGGGTCCAAACAACAACATTTTCTTCACCACAAATTATAATGGATCATGCAGTAAGTACAGACACACTCTAAAACACTACAAACTTCTTGTTTTGGCTAGCATGTACAGACGTTTACACATAAGTACATATTTCTTGCTCTAGAATACACAGTACTTTATACTTGCTTCTTATTTAGCCAAAGGTGGAGATTTTTTAGTTTTTGTACTCATTTTGCTAAAGATAGAGATTTTATACTGCTTCTTATTATGCTAGACTTATTGATTTTTATTTCTATTTAATTAGTATAGCTACTTATTCCTAGTGTTCTATAACTGATGATGCAAAACTGAAATTTCCCCACTGACGAATAAAGGATCTCTCAATCTTAATCTTTTTCTTATTCTTGTAGACGACAAAGGGAGGCTGGAGTTGCGGCGGTCGTCTGATTACGGCAGTAGTTTCAAAACCGTGGCCTCCAGAGTTTACTCCTTCGTTCTGGGCGGACGCTTCGTGTTTGCCTCGATAATGACTGGTTCAGTATGTTTTATTTCTTTAGTATCACCATTATTTATACGTCCGTGAAATGTATTCATCACGACTGTTAACCAGGGATTTGCCAAAAATCATAATCTCAACTAATCTAATTTTTTCTCAATCGCTATTATCAACATGTGTATTCAAATCAAGGGACTTCAATCATGGGGCTGGAGTTCTTTCTCCTGAACTAGACCGGAGAGAGAGACCAGAGAGAGAGAGACCAGAGAGAGAGAGACCAGAGAGAGAGAGACCAGAGAGAGAGAGACCAGAGAGAGAGAGACCAGAGAGAGAGAGACCAGAGAGAGAGAGACCAGAGAGAGAGAGACCAGAGAGAGAGAGACCAGAGAGAGAGAGACCAGAGAGAGAGAGACCAGAGAGGGAGAGAGACCAGAGGGAGAGAGACCAGAGGGAGAGAGACCAGAGGGAGAGAGACCAGAGGGAGAGAGACCAGAGAGGGAGAGAGACCAGAGAGGGAGAGAGACCAGAGGGAGAGAGACCAGAGGGAGAGAGACCAGAGGGAGAGAGACCAGAGGGAGAGAGACCAGAGGGAGAGAGACCAGAGGGAGAGAGACCAGAGAGAGAGAGACCAGAAATAGAGAGAGAGAGACCAGAGAGAGAGAGAGAGAGACCAGAGAGAGAGAGAGAGACCGGAGAGAGAGAGAGAGACCAGAGAGAGAGAGAGAGACCAGAGAGAGAGAGAGAGAGAGACCAGAGAGAGAGAGAGAGAGACCAGAGAGTGAAAGCACTTCAGCCGTCGTTGTACAGTATATATAGTGTGTGAGGGTTTTATAGCCTCATAACTTACAGCTGCTACTTCAAGGATTTCACTTATTGTGGGATATTTGTTAGAACTTAACCTCCACGATAAACCAGGGACCACTGTAGACTCATTACATGCCAAGTGACATATGCCAAGCTCTGGTATAATTTTATGATTATGGCTTACGGTCCATTTAGAAAATATTGGGGGTTTTTTATTTGTTTTTTTTTTACAGAGTTCAGAGTTTCAGAGTTAGAATGTAAATATATGCTATTCTCTCAAATGTCTGAATGGAGCGGTTGTAAACGAGTGTGTGGTTTGGTCAGGGCACCGAGCGGACAATCCATGTGTCTGTGGACGGAGGTGAGCTGTGGAACTCTGCTCAGCTGCCCACGGTCAACCAAGAGCAGTTCTACTCCATCCTCTCAGCCAATCAGCAGCTGGTATTCATGCACGTGGACGACCCTGGAGGTAAAACCCAACCACTTCTCTGTCAATAGTTTCAGTTCATGTTTTTGGAATTGTATTTCAGTGTTTGGGGCAGGTGTCCATATAACTCTAAGGGAAAAGAGCCATTGTTGAAAGTTATCAATTCAATTCAAATAACTTTATTCATTCATGAGGAACTTCATTTACAGACAGAGCACCAGTGGGGGAACATAAACATACAGAAACACAATATAAATACAAAAACAAAATAAGAGCAGAAATGCTATATAAAATACATAAAACAGGTAAACTTTATTGATCTCACAATGGAGAAACGTACATGTCACATTTGGCACAGATAGAATCACTCAGATTGTGCAAAAAGACAGAAGTGTGCAGCATGTTAAAGGTTAAAAACATGTCTGTGCAGGATATAACTATGTACAATAAAAAAGTGGCATTAGCAGTCCTGGTTCAGTCCTAATGCTTAGTGACTTACAGTGACTTATTGTACAGTCTGACAGGAGCCGGCCCTCCTGACCAGCTTGTTCAGTCTACTCCTGTCCCGCTCTCTGCTGCCCAAATCAGTTGAAAAGGCAAATTTAGGTGGGGAGGAAGCTGGATGTGGCTCTTTTTTTTTTTTTGAATGGGAGGGACCTGAACCAACACCCTGATGGGAGCAGACTGTAGTATGAGAGCTGTCTGTGGAAATATCAAACTTTATTATTTTAAATGGCTGTGAGTGAGTTTTGCTGATGTCCAATGATTCTGCTGCTGATTTTAATGGTCTTATTGAGTGAATTCCGATGTGTGAGACTAATGTGGAAAAACAACATGTCTAAAGGTTGTTCCCAGATCATTATTTGATAGTGAGTAAATTCAGGGATTGGATTAGATTAGGGTTAGGGTTAGGGTTTGGCCGCAATATCATTCTTATGCATAATGTGGTCCAGTAGGAAGGACTTTCAGACACATGTTTATAGTGCTGTGAAACAATCAAAATGATGAAGGCGGCCGGGCGCTCTGGTCCAAACTATGACCCACACATTGTTTTGTGACGCGGTATTCAGTCATAATACATTGTGTGTTAATTGCGCAATAAAATAATTGTCGTCGTCAAAATGGGTTTGTGTTAACGCCTTTGTTAACGTGATTATTTGACTTACAGCACAAGTTTTTTAGTGTTGTCCCCACTTTGACCAGGGGTGTCAAACCCGGTCTAAACAGTTGGTAATGGGCCTGGGGTAATGACACCTAACATGACTCTAGAGCACCACCTACGTAAGGCTTCTGACCTAAACTTTTCCAATCCTAACCAAAGTCACAGAGTCAAATCTTTACATCCGTACGAGCAAAATACTACTTTGCGTAGAGGATGTGGTTTGACACCTGCCCTTTCAGTTCCAGAAAGGGCAGGTGTGGCTGCAGGTTTTAGACCATAGTTTATAAGTACTGATTTCAAATTGGCCCAGGAATTAGAGAAATCCATCTTTGTTTTTACAAATTTATATGGACCTTTTTGTGTCTGAAATAAAGACAAGTAACAGTTTTAAAATACTAGAAACGGAGGAATTTTCTATAAACTAAATGTGTTACTTTTACCAGTTACCATAGTTACCAAGAGAGGTTTTTCTTCTGGGTGGAGTTCTTCTTAAAATCCACTTTTATCAAACAGCTTTTAACTGTTAGTTTTAAAATTCACATTTTGTATTTTACTGTTCCACTCTCTTTGTTTGTCTTTCTTCTTGTGTTTGCTTCGTCTGCTTTGTCTTCCTGTATCTACTATTCTATCTAATTACTTTGAGTTTGTATTATCATGACTGTTTTATTGTTTGTTATGCTGACAGTGCCGCGCTTGGTAAACATCGTTTTTGAAAAGTGCTATACAAATTATTATTCTTTTTCATCTTATTATTATTATCGGTTCAGCTCAACACCTGTGCCCTAAAGTATGGAGTTTAAAAAAAATTTGCTGTTGTTTTATGGCAGACTCTGGAGTGGGGACGGTCTACGTATCTGACGACAGAGGGACAGTGTTCTCCAAGTCTCTAGAGCGCCACCTGTACACGACCACCGGAAGTGACACCGATTTCACTGTGGTGTCTTCACTCAGAGGAGTCTACATGACCAGCGTCCTCACAGAAGGTTCGGCTTTTACCGCGGCGCCCAAAGATTCAACCTTTGACCTCTACACCAGCGTTTTAAATCATGTATTATAGGTTTTTAAAAAAGTGTTTAATTTGTTTTGTTGTTTCCTTTTATATGAACTGTGCTATACAAATAACCTTGCCTTGCCTAGTGTTTGCCAAATGCGGAAGAAGCTGATTCAACATAAGCTAGCTGGAGCATATGTCCTTATATGGGATTCTGTTCTCTTCTGTTGACTTTATTATTTGATATTTATGTATAACTATGTTTTATTAGTTGGTATTTTACTTTTATGTATTTATTTCTTTAGTCTGACCACACACACACCTATGGTCAGACCGCACAGGAGCCAGAAAAACTAATGATCCTAGCTTTTTGTAAAATTCACACTTCATTAAGATTAAGAAGTCCTTTATTTGTCCCACTGTGGGGAAATGTCAGTGTTGCATCAGCAGTTACAGAACAGTAGGAATCAGGAGCACACAGTACAAGATAAATGAACAATAATTCTATAATAAAAACAAAAAAAACCTTATCTTTAGCATAAAAAAGATTCAAACGTGCTTGTTACTGCAGACACATAGACTGTATATAAATGGACAATGCTAAGCCCCTCGTTCAATGAAGCCCAATAGGGAAGTGCTCATGGACAAAGTTTGGCTCCAACTTGACTTGCATTTAAAAATCAAACTCCAGCTTTCCATACAGCGGGAAACTAACGCCCTCAGATCAGATGCCCTCTAGCTAGCTTTGTTTAAACTGCATTGAGGCTAACACTAAATGCTAATGTCACTCTTCTTAATATACAGTCTATGGATACACACAGTAAATGTAGTGGCAAAACCCATCTATAATATATGTTTTTACAAATAGCTTGAATCATTTCTCTTGATGATTTTTTTCTGCAGATGGATCGGTGCAGACGGTGATCACGTTCGACCAGGGCGCACGCTGGCAGCCGCTGCGGAGCCCAGAGAACTGTGACTCCGACACCAACAGACCTCACGGGGTAAAAAGACTAACGCATCACCCTCTCTTACTGCTGTGTCTTTGTGTCTTCTTTTGCATAATTTATGGATTTCTCACGTAATCTGGTGTCAAATTGATGCTTTTGACTATAGCCATGGTTCTGGTTCTGGTCTCCAGATGCACATCAGGATCTCCAGATACAGTCTTTTCAGTTGAAGCACATCAGGTCATTTGCGATGCACTTCTGGTCAATGGTGCAGTGTCTCAGTTCCTGTACACAGCTTGTTATGCAGTAGTTACTCTCTATGGTTAAGTCACTTTGATTCTACTTTAACACAATTTCTATTCATGCTGTTGCTAATGACTCTCAGACAAAAGCAAGCGCAGTTTACTTCTCTAATTTGTGTTTTTATCAGATCTAATTCTAATCAATGTAATTACTTCACACAGTATAAAATCAACAAATCAAAAGTGTCAGGACAGACGTCAATTAAGTCCATGACAATATAGAATTCAAACATTTCTGGTCTCAAAAAATACTGATTCAACTAAAGATTCAAGTGATAGACAATTAAAAATATGTGTTTACATTGGAGTAAACTTTTAAAATGCTTTTTTCTCATGTTCTACTTTTTCATGTATCTATATGTAAATGTGAATGTGTGAGTGTATGAGTGTGTATGTGTGTGTGTGTGTGTGTGTGTGTGTATGAATTTTGGGGTTGTCTCTCCAGACTCCACGAACCACCTGTAGGTCTCAAAGGTCACACTGTGGTGATGTAAACCAACTGGACACACTTTCAACTCCCTCTAGGTCTCTCCCTGACGCTCCACCCATCACGTCTCCAGATACCTCTCTTTCATGGCCCCGGTCTCTCTCACACCCACTCAGTTCTGCAGTGGCGTGGGGAGGGGCAAGGAGGTGGCATTTCCCTTTGCTCTTAGCTCTGTGACCTGTGGCTGGGTGGGCTTTGCGCTGTCCAGTGTCCAGCAGTGACCTCTCCCACAGTGTGCCAGAGTCTGAAAAACAATCCTTGAAACAGCCAATTTAAAAAAACAATAGATATCAGTATGCGAATGAGATTGTTTTTCTCTCTGAAGTCAAAACAATTTGAGCGCTCTTGGCTTTCCCAAGCGCTATGTAAATAAAGATTACTTATTCTCTTACTAATGATGACATTTTAAAACCAGAAACTAAAGAAGTTATCAAAACAACAATTATACTCAAAACAAACAACCTTTTAAACTTTAAAACATGTATTATATACTTTTGTACCGTGTGATTAATTATCTATGCGTCCTTGGGTTTCTTGAAAGACGCCATGAAATGAAATTATGAAAAATCTCTATAAAAATGAACATTAATTTGTAAAAACATTTAAAACAAAACTTGAAATCAAACAAAAGATTTAGCTCCAGCTAAACTGGATTTGGTTCAATAAAACTCAATTGTGCGTCGGAGCTGCCTCCTCATGTCTCTGAGCAGCAGCAAGGTCACGCGTGTAGTCAAAACAAAAACAAAAGTCACCGCTTGAATGTGAATTGGGTGAATTGGGTAGTTTAACTTAATAATATAATACTTTTACAGCCTAATTCCCTCTTTCTTTTTTAGACGAAGTCTACAATCATTAATCACTTTTAACAGATTCTAATTTAAATGTTTGAAAAACGGCTTTTGTAACTAAAATAAAAAATACATGAAAAAATTCTCACAAACAGCTATGAAATATATCAGAGATACGATAATGGACTCACAAAATAAGCAGCAGATTAAAAAAAAAAAAGCAAAGCTCTTTGTACTAATCTTTGGGTTTCAAAAACATACTAATTCAAAACTTCTATTCCCTAATGGTGTTTAAAAACATTTAACTGTGTCTAACACAATGTTCAAATGGCAAATTTAGCAAATTTAACGGAATAACAACTATGAAAAGCCAAATTCCTAAAGCAGTAGCTCCCCTTTAAATCAGAGCAGCAGCTCAGCAGCAGCGAGGGCGGGGGGGTTCCTTTCACACAGACGCGCACACACAGGCAGAAAGATACAGAAGAATAACTTTCAAGATTACTTTGTTAAGCGAATATAACTTATGTTGTTCTTTATACTTTTGTCATCCAAATCTAGAAGTGATCACTTTCCACACTAGTAACAAAAGGCACTCTTTAGTGTTTAACGTTTCCCTTTTTATAATTACTTTTAATTCACCATGGTTTCTCTCAAAGGGACTTTAACCCTGAAGCTTCTTCTCAAAGGGACTTTAACCCCGAGACTTCTCTCAAAGGGACTTTAACCCTGAGACTTTCTCAAAGGGACTTTAACCCCGAGACTTTCTCAAAGGGACTTAACCCGAGACTTTCTCAAGGGACTTTAACCCCGAGACTTCTCTCAAAGGGACTTTAACCCTGAGACTTTCTCAAAGGGACTTTAACCCCGAGACTTCTCTCAAAGGGACTTTAACCCCGAGGCTTTCTCAAAGGGACTTTAACCCTGAGACTTCTCTCAAAGGGACTTTAACCCCGAGGCTTTCTCAAAGGGACTTTAACCCCGAGACTTTCTCAAAGGGACTTTAACCCCGTCAGGCTTTCTCAAAGGGACTTTAACCCCGAGACTTCTCAAAGGGACTTTACCCCCTGACTTTCTCAAAGGGACTTTAACCCCGTCAGGTAGCGAACCTGTTTTTAATCTAATCTGATCTATAGATACATGACATTTGGCAGACCTTAAAACAGACCATAATTTAGTTCACTCAATTAGCAGACTTTGAATAAACAGGTGTCCGCTCTTACCTTTTGTCGAACAGGGCCCAGGTACCGTCAAAAGTCCACCAAATATCAGCTTTTCCACGTCCAACCAGGTCTCCAGATCATGAACCAGCGCTCACTAGTACCGGGAACTAGCTTCCATCGGCAGAGACCAATCACCCGTCAAAAATCCCCGGAATGCGGACATGGGAAAACAATTTGAAACGCTAAGTCCAAAAAACAGGACACAAAAAAAATATAGTGAGACAGCGAAAAAGAGTCCCGGAGCCGGTCGCCTCTCCAGCCTGCTGGACCGCTCCCAGGCCCCAGACACTCTCAGCTCTCCCACGCCGAGAAAAAGAAACAAAGCAAACTCCCTCAAAACAATCCAGAGAATGGCACAAACCGAGCCGCGCATTCTCCACCAAATCTGTTAGGATTTAGGCAGAGAGAGACGGATCGTGGTGTGCCAAACTCTGGAAGTTTATTTAAGTTTCTCTCAAGTTCCACTAGTTTACTCTGTTTCTTTTCTCTCAGACAGAATAAAGGCAGTACACAGTTTATATAGTCATTGTCACGTCACACATCGAAAGACATACGTGTCACAAAGAGACAGTCACATCATAGTCATAACATGGAGTCCTTGTAGAGTCCTTGTACAGTCCTGCACGTAGGCCATATTGCTATCTAATACTAATACTCGGTTCAAATTATATAATATATATATATATATATATATATATATATATATATATATATATATATACTAGGGCTGTCAAACGATTCATTTTTTTTAGTTGATTAATCGCATAGTAATGGTGAGTTAGCTCACGATTAATTGCATGTTTAACATTCTATTTCAAATCCACTCCAATTGAAGTTAAATGAGATTATCAAATATAATTACCAGTGTTGGGTAAGTCACTTTGAAAAAGTAATTAGTTATAGTTACTAGTTACTTCTTCCAAAAAGTAATTGACTTACTAACTGAGTTACTCCACTATAAAAGTAACTAGTTAGCAGTAAAAGTAACTATTGCGTTACTTTTTCGTTTGTCGTGGTACCGAGCTTTAGCTGGCTGTAATTTAGGATAACTTCTAAGTAGATTAATTGTTGCAACAACCCCACCCTATTTTAGTATGATATGTTAGTTTAGGGAACTGTCCTGCAGGCAAACAGGTATAAGACAGGCCAAGGTGCCATTTAATTAAATTGCATTTATTTTTATCCATTGATCAAACAAACAGATTACAAAACTTGCAATTGAAAGAGACTATTTTAAAATAATTAGTTCCCAAAGACACACACGAGCAACACTCACGCCTGACAGTCAAGAACCAGGGAGAATACAGTGCGCAGAGCGCGCCTGACAGACAAGAACCAGGGAAAATACAGTGCGCAGAGCGCGCCTGACAGACAAGAACCAGGGAAAATACAGTGCGCAGAGCGCTGAGTATGTGAACGGAGCAATCGCTTGCTGCTGTTATTATAATAGCTAGATCCATGCTTGCAGCCCGTGTAAAGCTTGCACTCACTCACAGCCGCTAACAACAACCAGAGCGGCCACGGAGGAGGCCATCTCACACGCAGCATTCTGAGTGATATTCTTATGGATAAATGGGCGGGTCATCATGCGTTAATGCGTTTAAAAAAAATAACGCGTTAATAAAAAATGTAATTAACGTGAGTCAAAACGATAATTTTGACAGCCCTAATATATACACAAACGGTTGTTGGTGTTATCATCACTCTCTTTACACAACCAAAACATGGGGACTTCACAAACTGAATGCGCATTTCGCGCATGCGCAAAACGCAACGAAATACTTTGCCTGAAGTCGACGGTGGAGTCTCGTGGAACGTGAAGAGAGCACTTTTTTGAATGTACGGTAAGTGTTAAGACACGTTGTTCATTGTTATAAAGGTATAAAGCTAAAGAAGTGTGTTAAGAACGAGTATACATTCGACTATATTATCTTATAAAACTCGTGTGTTCGACCAGCTCAGCGGTGAATGCAGTGACTGTGGCCGTGTTCAGAGCCGCTCTCCCGGAGGCCTGAGAGAGCTCTGTCCGGCCTCCGGGAGTTTATTGAGGACAGCGGTGAATGTAGCTGTTAGTAGCTAACTGTAGCCATGTTCAGAGCCATATTCCCGGCCCTAACTACGCGGGCCGCCGCCGCAAGGAAGTTAGGAATCACATATATATGTGATATATATATCACATATATATGTGATATATATATCACATATATATGTGATTGCTCCGTGTGTGATAACTTTCTGTGAAGCATGGAGCTGCAGGAGCAGGGACGAGGCGCTCAGGGCAGACTGCTTCGAAAGAACCGAAGGAAAAGCAGTTTGGGCTCATGGCAGAGCCTGATGTACAGGAGACTGTGGACTAGGGTTCTGTGGAATATCTAACATATATCATTTGTTTTGCACTGTTCCTGTCTTTGTTTGAGCGCTAAGACTTTCACTTTTATTATTGTACTTTTTCATCTCATTTGTCACTTTTGTCTTTCTGTTCATTTTTATGTTTTGTTTATTAAGTCCATTGCTTAATAATGTTATTGAGTGAATCTAGACCTCCTTTAAACACATTTGAGCAAAAATCATGTGATATTGTTTTATATATATTGATTATTCTTTTTTTGCTTACAGTTGCAGTCCGACAACAAGAAATA